GAGGCGCTTGCGTCTTTCATCTGTTTTTTGCGCTTGTGAACCCCCCAAGAATGAGTTAAAATACGGTAGTAATGCTTTTTTAATAAGATTGTCGTAAACCTTCTACCCAGTAATTCTATTCCAATTTACTTTCCTTTACCCTATACTTTCGCAGAGGCGTTAAGTATATTTAGCAACACATCACAGCATCCCTCTCTGATACGCATGCGGATTTCTTCGAAAACATATGTCACTTGGTGCATAAATTATGGCTCTTTAATCCTTTCACCGCTGCAACAAAAACATTTCCCAGAATATGAATTCGAAAAAATCTAATATAACGTTGGATGTATTTTATTATAAATTTATGCTAAATCGTTTGTTTTTACTTTTTTCATAAAGTTATAAATTTTTCTTTTGTAAAAATTAAATCTTCGATCTCTTTAAAAACTTTCAAATTGTAAAAATTTAAATCCTTTGACCATATTAATGCGTAGTATTTTTTCTATTTTAAATATTAAATATTAGTTAATATAAGCTCGAATGATATTAATCCCCATTTAATTGGTTATCGTAAAGGGGATAAAGTTGCTCTCAATACATTGAGCTGCAATTGACGGTTAGTCAACTTTTGAGTGCTGTTTAATTAGCGTCAACATGGTCCACCGATAGAAAGGGTTCTTCATAAGATCCAAAATAGGTTTATGTGACTTGGAGCGGAAAAAGCGGAGTGAGCAGCGAATGTAAACGAAGCGAAAAAATATCGTGCTCTTAGATATTCTCGCATCTTTTCACACGTGAATTTTTGCATTAACATAGAGAGTAAATTTTATATTAAATGTTGAAAATGTTCAAAAAATGGCAAGCATTAACATGCTTTCTGAATTGTAAGCAATGTAAAATCTAGTATAACGTTTAAATATTATTCTTTAGAATCGCGGAAGTAAAAATATTAAAATTTATTATAAACATTATTTTATTTAATTTCAAATAGAGCTTAACTTTAATCTAAGAATTATTTACAGATAAAAAAGAGATTGCGAAGTTACAAAGCTGCGTCAAAAACATCCTTTAATCAAATTTCTGTTACGGAAAGATTGGCTTTAAATTGATCAAAGAATTTGTAAATGAAATGAAAAATATAGACTGTCTTGGACTCCTGAGACGCTCTATATCGTTTTATTTTATCTATGTAAAAAGGGAGATAAAAACACAGACATCTATAAGAAGAAGGATAGAACTATTTACGTCATTTTTTTTCTTTGCATTTACGATAAACTGTGCCGTATTTTACAACTATAACTGCTACAATGCATAATTGTGGCAATCAATTACTTTAGGAACTCGCACATGTTATTCTTATTCGCGTATATTTTCATAATTTTCATACTAGGTCTCCATCAATCTCTTTTATCATAATTAGAACATAAAATAATTTAATTTTCTGCATCACAGCGCAAAAAATGAACATTCTCAGTAATTAACGTTATTACCGTATTAATGCATTTATGTTTATTCTCACAATTATTGTTGTGGCTTTCTTTGTGTAAGTTTCATTCGCCTTACAGACCTTATTTTCTAATTAATTTAATACACTCTAATAAATAAGCCATAAATTCTCGCAAAAAAATTTATTTTTCATTCTCCGGTGTGTATAATACAAATTTTATTCTTTATGAAAAAGTTAAATATTAGATATCCAGCGGCAGATACCCACGGCGCATAATTCCACGAGATATCGCGGAATTTCCTTGTCGATGTACTCTGATCTGAAACACCGCACGCGATATACGCCACGTTTCGCCCTTTCCTAGATATAGTCTACGCGATACGGAGATACTTCTTCTTTCATGAGGGCCCCACGGGGACCGTACGACGGTCGGATGACGACGAGAGAGAGAGAGAGAGAGAGTGAGGTGGGGGAGGGGTGGGGGAGGGAAGGCGGAGTGCACGCGAGGAGTCTTCGTGCCTCCGCGCTAGGCTCGACGAGAAGGCTAATGTTGCTTTTTTACTTAAAGGGAGTTGGCAGCCAGTTTGCTTTGCTCGCCTACCTCCGCGGCCTCGGCGCGGCGACCCTCCGCCCCGGAGTGGGCGGAGGTTCGACTGTGCAAAATGACTTAATGAACGGTATCTTCCACTCCGGCTCTCTAATCATTCCGGGCACTTACTTCTTGCCGTCAGCCATTTACTTTCGCAACTGGCGCTTCTTGCCGCTTCCCGTCACTCGCGCCTGCCATGCCGCCAATCTTTTTTCCCTCGGTCCACCGACGAGATTCGATAATTACGGGAAAATCCGAGCGAGGGAACACCTACGTGGAGGTCTCCGCTCGGGTGCAGCTGGATCGCGTGCAGCTGCCTTTTTCCAGCACTCGGCACCCGACCTACCACCGATCGCCTCCCCGCGCGCTTGTTTCGATAGGGTTGATCTCGAGAGGATCTCTAATGCTCCACTGTGGACTGGACGCTGAGTGGCGATCGCGAGCGGTTTTAAAAAAGGATTTGCATATCCGCGCACGTTTCGACTTGGTCGGAGCTCCGGATTGATATCCGTTTCATTCGTTCGAAGAGAGAGAGAGAGAGAGAGAGAGAGAAGAGAGAGAGAGAGAGAGGAGGGACTTTAACCAAGCGTTATCTAAAAAGTTAATGCTCTTTAATGTTACATTATTCTTGGCAAGACAATCTCTGAATCCTGAGCTCTTAATACTTAGCTCTTAATACATAGCTCTTAAAATCGTCGTATGATAATGTTATATCATAATAAAAAGAAACTTGAAAATTTTTTTATTTAAAGATATTTTTGTATTTAAAGTGTATGATTTGTATTTAAAGTGAAACTCATAATATATATGAAGTGTTGCAATTATTCAATAAAAATGTAAATAACATAATTATTATTTAATAGTTAAAATTAATATTTTAGACAATAATTGAAAGAACGATAATTAGGTAATAAATTTTTTCTAAAAAGAGCCTTTAATTGACTCCTTTTTATAGTGTTTCTTTTTATTATCTTTTGGTACCCTCCAATTAAGTTCAGAATCTAGCGATCGGTTTCACTCTAATATTTTTCTTGGAAAGAAAGAAGTTATGAACATAGTTTGCACAGTTATTTTATGGCACAATTTTTCTATAAACTATAAAAGTTTATATTATATTAAAAGATATATACTTTGTGTTTCTATGAAATATTATATTTGTCATTTTATATCAGTTTTATCAACAATCCGGGTAATTGTTTATATCGATTCTAGTAAGTTCGATTTTATCTATTTCTACCAATGTAGATTAACTTTAATCTCGATTTAATTTTTTAACTTTTTTTATTTTTAAGAATCAGAAAAAGATAGAGAGTTTATTAAAATCGAGATAAATTAAAATCGAGATTAAAATTTATCTACATTGATAAAAATGGCTATTAATGTTACTTTGAAAAAAATATATTCGCCATATTCTTATTGTTTTAGAGACTTTGCTATTTTTTTTCTGTTAAATATGTATACTCTTTATTACCTGATTAAAAACAAACAACGATACATAAATGTGAAATATTAAACTGTCCCCTATCAGCTATTCCTATTTTTTCCTATTTAATTGTTAAATACCAAGCTCGAATCAACACCTATCTGAGGGTAAAAAAATCGATCGAAACGTGTTACTATCGCGAGGTGAGGTCGCGGCTCGCACCTCGGGAATGAACTAAATTACGAGCATCCGACGTATCGTCTCTCTCGCGCATGCAAAAACTGATTGGCGCGAGCTTCGCCTGTCGGCTGCCTCGTTACTACGAGGCAACGACTCGTAGCGCAGGATACAGTTGCAAATTGAAACTCGGCCGAGAAAAAGAGAGCGCGAGAGAGAGAGAGAGAGAGAGAGAGAGAGAGAGAGAGGG